GAGTACGTCCAGTCACTTACCTTGTTCTGATGACGTGCCTTTAGGATTTTCCGTTTCCGCCACTGAGACAGAATACGTCAAAACAATCACAATCAGGAGAAATTACTAAGCTATTTGGAAAGTCATGGTATCAGAATGGAGCTGAAAGGGGCGTGGCACATGAAAAATTTTTCAAACCTTGAAACATACTCACCCACATATGGGAAATGTAGGGAAAAACACCTAGAAAAAAAGAGCCCAGGAGGTACAGCGTTACGCTAAAGTTCGTTACGGGAACAGCAGATAGGAGGAGTGTTAGCCTAATATTCTTTCACGGTCTTCTATATGCCTTTATAAAGAGGGGAGTAGGGACGGGAGACAGTCAAGAGCTGAAAAGCAGGCCCTTCCCATTGGGAAATCCTCAGAGCGCTACGACTAAGCTGTCCCAAGCAGTCATAACCATCATATTGGCCATTACTATTCCCGGACCAGAACCACCAGGAAGCTTCACTGAGTTCAATCTTATTCGTGGAGATTCTCAGCTAGTGGGAACTGCCTCCGCTCTGGGTTAATCCATAGATGTTATGGGATACGCTAGAGGGCATACCTGCCACAACACCAAACGCATACCCTTCTTGAAGCCTAGGACGCGTGCGGCTGCGCTGCGGCCGTCAGTACAAGCCTACGCGGTCGATTTCTCGAACTCTAAGCATTCCACTTAGTCATTGAAATTCTAGAGTTGTTGGTAAATCCCACGATTCAGTATATCGATTCAGCATATCGCTACGCAGTCCATAGTTATCGATCAAACGCTTGAGGCGTTATGTGCACCGCCCCTTTCAGAAAAATCGAGTTCCAATTGGACAAACACGAATACTGAACAACAGATCATGCGTGGATAACCTTACCCAGAGCTCATCACATTGTTTCGCCGCTTCCGAAGGATCGTCGATAATTTTAAGTTCTTGAATAGCTCCCTAAAAATCGAATGAACGAAATTAGTTAGCCTACCTCCTCCAAAGAGACGACTTCAATAGGCTCGACGGCAGGCAGTAATGGGAATTCGATCAGTGGTACCTCCTTGGATTCCATCACCGTATCCTCTTGTGGTGGAGTATATTGAAAAAATATACCGCCAAGATCTTCATCCTCGGTATCACGACGTTGTCTGGGCGTCGGTGGAGCAAGTGTAAATTGTTCTTGATGATTTGTTTGAAATGTTTCAGTCGTGAGAATGTCTTCGTCGGATGGCTGTTGTTCGACTACGGTACCGTACGATTCAGCAGCTTTTGACGGAAGTATAAGACCGTCATCAACGAGATACTGTTGGACGGGTTGGCCATGAATGATGTTGATGGAACCCAGAAGTAGAAGAACGGCGAATATGGCCAACATTCTGCAATGCCAAGTGGGAATACGGAGAAATTGGTTACACACGACCGACGTTCCCTATGACAGCTTGACGAGAATGAAAAAGATTTGCCACAGCTTGGAACTTTCAAACCATCTCTGTGGTGGAAAGAATGAATGGAAGATAGCTGGTAAAAATGAAATGGGAGCAATTTTGGTTATGATGAGAAGTTGGTTAGTGGAGATAGTGCATAGACCATCGAAGCCTTCAACAGAGCACCTTCCAATTAAGGAAATGGATGGGCAGATGTGCACAAGCACGGCGTAATCCCCACGTCTTTTTTGTTACCACGGAATACATCCGCTGACCCTAAAGATTTCGGTATTTTCAAATCGACTTTTAACTAACGTAGGAATGCTTAGAATTTTCCGTCGTTATGCTAGGATGCGCCATGCATTCGACTCACTGCTGTCGACTGACTTTCGCCTTGCATTCAAAACGCTCTGAAGATCAAATCGTTGAAACTTAAGTAGGCCTACACAAGAACACTTTGAATGAAGCCAGTAGTCAAGATCGTGCTATCCTCCTATTTCTGAACAACGCCGAACAGAATCATAAAAGAAATACCAATGTAACGATATCTTGATTGAGACGGTGACGGCTCAAAAGAGACGGTTTGACACTTCCTACCTGAGGTTCTTGTGGGAAACGAATCTAAAGCAACCGAGCACAAGCTGCGATTGTGAAGCAGGTCGAACAGATTTCAAAGGATGGGGAAGGGAGGAACATGCTCAGCATTCAAGACTGTCAAGATGATGCCAGAATTGCTTTGTAAAGTAGTGCATGAGATGGGCGGCGAGCTTGGAAATGAGTAAAAAACTGCCTCAAAACATGTGTGATCCCAGCATGAACCCTGAACTGAGGCTTTCACATACCGAACTGATTTAGTTGAAAAAAGCAAACTTCTAGAAACTTTGTGAACGGGATGGACCCTGGGTAACCCTAACAGAAAGAGACAATTTAGATGCGCGTACTTACTGGGATTTCATTCAGAACTCAGTGTTGAATAAATTCCATAGAGGAAAATCAGAATCAAGGAGAAGTCGAAGAAATCGATTTATTGATTTATACAACTCCTACGGTTCTCAAAGTACTGGTGGAACATTTTTCTTCCAAAAAGCTCATCGATCTAGAGAAACTCTCAACAACATCACCACCACTTTGTTCCAGGTAACAAAAAATAGAAAAAGGAATCTGATCGTTGTTAGGTTGGAGGACACTTTAAATTTACAACTTTACTTGATCAGGTTCGAGTTCGGACATCGACACAAGCTTTGCTAACATCATGATGGAGTAAAGTCCAGCTAGATTGCCGGGTTGTCGCATAGGTAGCAGGTATACCGAACTATCCTTACTGGTTACCGTTTCGAATGGGTTACCACCAATTATATTGAAAGGCATTTGTCTGCGCTTAGACAGGTCTTACTCTAAGGTCATCCAAACAACGGTTTTTCGAATATTCAGTTCAAATAGCATTTTTACGATCGTTGGTAATTTCTCTGTCTAGGAATAGTATAGGAACATCATATGGAGCACAGTGGGAGATTTTCGAACCTCTATCACCCCCTCCCCGTGTGCTCTAAGGTTGTCCAAACACCAGGTTTTTTTGAATATTGCACATCGCGTCTGACATTCGATCGCCTTACCCCACAAAAGGATTGGAATTACTGAATAACTCCAACAATTACCTAGCTACATACAAGTACGACAGAAGTAGGGTAGTGCCCAGTAACGCCCTACCACAGCCACGATCTGGCTCGAGCCAAACGGGTCTTCCATTCCTTCAGAGCCTGTTATTTGGACTGAGGTTGTGTGGAAGGGAAGAAATGCTTACTCAAGGCCTGACTACCTCCAGAAGACACTTGATAAACTAAATCTGCACTGACTAGTGTCACAATTTTGAATGGAAGGCAACGTTATGGCACTTTCCACAACAGGTTCGATCGGTGGACACCAAAAAATTTATCGCCAGGCAATAATTGTGATATCTTACAGTATGGAAACGTTAACAAGTATCACATGAACCAATTGAATAGATTACAGTAAGCTCAATTAGTTGCTAGCGTTCATTGCGAGTTCCCAGTAAAACATTATGGCCCATGCCCCTTCATAAAACTCGCTGACCCCTTGGAATGACTGTAGTTCTTTCGGGTCTGATCGCTAGCGCCGTCGTTGATGGAAAGGCAGAGGACTTTCAATTGCCACGATGACATTTTACATGATAAACATCGTAAATGACGACTATCTCGTGAGCGAAGGGTCATTCGACATTCAAACAAAAAGTGTTCCAATATCCTTCCTACGATACCTACGATGAAGACGATGTGTATGTACAATACAATGTTAATGGCCGGAAACGCTAACGTCATCGGTGAAGAAAGACACGGGAATAGGCAAACTGAGTGTTTAGCCGTAGTACGACAGGTGCAGTAGTAATAAAGCAATGATGCGATGATGAGCTGACCAAAACTAAAGAAAAAGTTTTGTGTAAAAGCATTTGTGACTTGGTCGTCATGGCTAGTGATCGCGGTCGTTTTCAACATTATTCTTGACCGCAAAACTGAAAAAGAAGGGATGCCTAGAACGTCTCATACGCTTAGCTTCTAAGTATATAACCTCTAGCCCAATCGGCACCCTTTGAACTCCGTATTAGTAGCTGAATATGTCAAACTTGAGTAGCTTTTGAAATTATCCAACGTACACAACCTGCAGCTTTTTTAGAAGTTGTGAAGAGGTCTACTGCGGTGAGCCAACTTGAAGCCTGAATCAGATACGATTCGGTCATCGAGAGTGGAACCAGTTCGTCGTAGAGTTCTTAAGTTCACTCCGGCAATAACTAACCACAACCATTGGATTCGCATTGATCTAATAACCCCAGAACGTCAGATATAAATTTGTTATAATGAATCTTGGCTGTCAGCTCAAATGTGAAACTTATGGGCAAAATGTTCGATCTCGGAAGAGACTCGAACCTCAGCCCGCGCTGACCGAACACCACACTCTACTTCGTTAGGGTGTGTGTCAAGTCGTGCGTCCGAGGGTGCGCGCGGCAAACTGCGCGGCGAAGTTCGTGGCGGATTTGGACGACTTTGGCGCCTATCATCGGGGCCCAAATCTGAAGTAAGGTAGATTAGTAAGGTCAGCTGATCCTACTCTTCTACTGTACTTCGAAATTGGGCCCAAATAATAGGTGCTAAAGTCGTGAGAATAGGTATGGGTTTCGCCGCGCAATTTGCCGCGCGCACCCTCGGACGCACGACTTGGCCGTCCCCCAATTCGTTACACTACCAAAATCCCTCAGGGGAACCACAAAGACAAATCAACAGGACGTATCACTTGTTGTCAAGCTAGCCTTTACGTTAACTGGTAATGTGGAAAAAGTCCCCAGAACCAATCTTTCGTTTGATGGCATGTTTCTAAAACTAACATGGATGATCCCGCTGAGCGGAGTAATCTTCAGCATCGGTTAAAAACGGTGAATTAAGGAAGTAAAGGTCTCGCAATTCAGTGAGGAACAACAACTTCATAACTGTCGTCCAGCAAACAAAAAGGGAATTTCGCAGAGCCCGAGGTTAAATCGAACTTCATAACCAATTGCTACTCATAAATAGTTTATCTTCAACCCTCTAGAAAGATACTGGAATTGGACGTAACTGACTACAATCTGTCTGCTCTTCACAGCCTGTTCAGGCTGATTGATCTCGTTTTTATGGAGAAATATGCCAGGAAAGCCAGCTCAGACTGAATCTAAGTTCACTCAGACCACCATCGACCCGTTTTCCTTCGCGAAGCTTCTTCTTCTGTGGAATGTACTCCATATTGTCTAATTTCTTCGCGTTTCCAAACTCATTCTTAATAAAACCCCACGAGGAGGCTCTTGTCTGGTTACCACTTCGTGTTCAACCTTATCCTTAGCCCCCGGGCTGGACATTAGCCTCACTTAGGCATTGTTTTTTTACCTAACTGCCCAGAAATTACCATCAGTCGTCAGTCAAATGTGAGTATATAGAGTTGTATAATATTTTTTACAGACATCAAAAAAGTCAGAAACAAATTATTCACTCGGAGAATTTTTTCAAACACCAAATAATAAAATTGAAAAATGAAAGATCTCGCAAAATCAGTGAAATAACTGTCAATTTAATATTGATAGTAGTCTATAGGTGAGCAAAGCGTACTGATACGACGATAGTGGAGCAGCCATGGAGGAATGTGGCCTGGTGAATGAAAGAAAGTGGTGATTTTATCACAGCTCATATACACAACTGTCTTCGTTTCTTTTTCACTTCACTTTACACCCTCATTAATACAACACACACACGATTCGCAACACATAAGTTACTGTTTATCACTTATGATATGTTCATGGCGAATCTATCGCCCTGGAGCCCCGTTTATGATACTAGAAATAATTTCTGACAACTAAATAAAAAAAACTATTGAACGGGGTCAGAGAGAAAACTGGATATGATTTATCCCGCTCCAGGAGTACGCCATGTATTGGAAATGCGTCTAGAATTGAAGTGGATTTTGAATAGGGATTCGAACTACATGAAACATTAAAAGATCCAAAGTACCATCAAAACAAATCGTTTCAGAGCTCTCTGGGCTAGCTTTCCTGTGAAGATGCTTAAATCCCAGTTGATGGTGTTAATTTTGTTTCGAGACTTTCGTAGAGAGCCTCGAACTACTTGTTAAGGAAGGTGGGAAGAAATCTTGCACCTAACCATTCAGCAAATGCTGAGGATAAGGCTCTGGGGTAGGATACTTAAAAGTAGTTTGTATGTAGTGTAGATAGGGTTAAATTCAGCAAAAAGTTATGATGAATTTGCTAATTTTCAAAGACGTTTTATTGGCCAATCCCTGTTCTGGAATAGCCCTACCAATTTCCAATTTCCGAGATTCATTGACCTAAACTTGGCCTGAAAACCCAGGAGAACTGGCCTACCAAGATCAGCGATCAAGTCAAGTTTTCGAAGAATCT